CCATCTAGAAAACCGCCATTTTGAGGAGGGGGGGGGGGGGGACTTGAACGAGTGCGACGCCTTTGGAAAATGTCTCTGAACCCGTCAAGACTCGGTCTTCATTTGGCCATTTTGCAAAAAAAAAAAAGTGGCCTCAGAAGGGTTTTGCTCGGAAACGCAAGACGTCGAGAAATGCGTCACGCGCGACATCGGGAGCGCTCGCTTCGGTCGAGCCGCAAGTGAAGAACGCCCTTTTTGTGCCGTTTCGCCCTCCCGCAGGCATTTGGACTACTTCGAGATGCTGCGCAACGACGACGAGCTGGCTCTGGCCAAGCGTTTTGAGTCGGTGAGCCAAATGGGACGCGGCGCCCTCCGCGCCTCCCCCCCCGCGGGGGACTCGCTGACGGGAGCTTTTTGCCTCGGCAGGTACACGTCGACACCAAAAGTGCCAGCCAAGCCTTTGAGCTCATCCGCAAGAAGATGAGCCACAGCGACGCGTACCCGCACTTGATGTCCGTCCTCCATCACTGCCTCCTCATGCCACGTACGTGTCGGCCGCGCTTCGGCGGGGTGGCGGCGCCTCCCGGCCGGCCCCGACGAATTCACCGGCGGCAAAAGGCGGCGACGGCTCACTCGCCGAATCCCGAGCCTTCAAAAGTCAGAGGGGAAGTGGCCAGGGCATAAAAACGCCCGACTTTTCCGGCCGCGACGCATCTCCGTTTCGATCCCAAGAGCGAAACGCACCGTGATTCTTGCGCAATCATTTGGATGATACGAACCAATTCCCCAAATTCACTTTCTCCAAAAAAATGAAAACCAACTTGTCCACGTGGGTCTCGTTTGTCCAAAAGTGTGCGTCGAGCTGTGGGTAGCGCATCGGCCTGCTGACCTCGCACAATTTTGCCTTCAGCATATGAAGAAAGTGCCGGAAAAAAAGGGGGGCGGGGCAAAACCTGGAAAGCGCAAAAGATGTCAGGCATCGTCTTCCTCAAAGGCCTTGGCGCCGCCGTGCAGACACGATTGCGCAAATCTTCAGCGCTTGCGTAACGCCGGAGCGTCCCCAGCGCGGCGCCCGGTTTTCCGCGGGCCCGGGTCTGAGTTTGCGGCGGCCTGCCGCTCGGTCCGTCGTCGCCGACTTTTCCCCGACGCTTGCCCCAATCCCTTGGCGCTTTTTCTCCCCGCCCGCGCAGACAAGCGGAGCGGCAACGCGGTGCAGTACTGGCTGCTCCTGGACCGCATCGTCCAGCAGATGGTGCTGCAGAACGACAAGGGCCAAGATCCCGACGTGGCGCCGCTGGAGAATTTCAACGTGAAAAATGTGGTGCGCATGTGAGTGCTCCCGAAGCAGCCGAGACCGGCGAGTCAAAACGCGCACCTCGGCTGGCGTTCTCATTTCTTTTCCTTCGTGATGGCGAAGACCATCGCGAAGGAATCGTAGAGTCGTGCCGTTAGTCGAGGCCCTCGGCAATACCAAAACCAAATCATGAATGGTGTCGTCTCGCTCAGGTTGGTCAACGAGAACGAGGTGAAGCAGTGGAAGGAGCAGGCGGAAAAGATGCGAAAAGGTGAGTGCGAGCGCGGTGGCCGCCGCCGCCACCGCCCGCCGCTCACCGCCGCCGCCTTTCCCCATCCAGAGCGCCACGAGTTGCAGCAGAAATTGGAGAAGAAGGAGCGCGAGTGCGACGCCAAGACGCAGGAGAAGGAGGACATGATGCAGACGCTCAGCAAGATGAAGGAGAAGCTGGAGAAGGAGAGCGGCGAGCACAAGAACGCCAAGCAGCAAGTGGCCGAGCTCAGCGCGCGCCTGCGCAAGCTCAGCAGCGTACGTCTCGCTTTCACGTCTCCGTTCCCGCATGACAAAAAGAAGCGGACGGCTGCCCGGCGTTGCCCTTCCGAACTCTCACTTGTCCTGTGCACTTCCCCCCCCTTGCAGAGTCAAGCCGGCCCGGTTCCCGGCGGCTCCGCCTCCGCCCCCGGCGGCCCCGCACCTCCTTCCCCTCCCGCGCCGTCCTCTTTCGGCCCGCCCCCTGGCGGCGCGCCGC